TAGCTCACATCTCGATCATTTTACATCTTCGCTTTATGTCTAAGAAGGGTTTTACTTGCGAGTATGGCAACGGAGAAAACTGAGTCCCACATTCGACGTGCAAATTTTGCTCAGCTAGAGTGTGTGAATGGCTGTGTTAATGGGATTTCGCAACAACACCCTCAAAACAGCACCGAGGTTCACACTTTGCTAGAGCTTGACGATCGTCTTTGAGGCGAATACTAGTATTATTTCGATAGCCTGAATTTAGTCGATTCCGAAGCTATGTTTGATATTAGATGGTCTTCATAGAGCGCTGAAGAGCAAGAAGAGGATTACATTTTGCAGTCTTAGGCTCAGGTTGCTTTGTCACCTCACATGCGGTTTACCCTCTTGCTAAATACTCTTGCTAAAAGTTCGAAACTAACACTTCTTAGTTGGATCTGTAACAACTGTTGCTTCCTTGCATTCTAGCGGTTCGTAGCTGATCTGAACCCTAAGTCGTCTCAAAATGGTCGAGATTATTTCGTTTCGTTTCAAGCGTTTTCTCAAGACCACTGCTTAAATTTCAATATGCCTGATAACCATTATTTGAGCCACGCATGTCAGTGGTCTGACGAGATCGCAAGATTGAAACACGTGTACCGGGCTCTATAAGTCAGCCCTTCTTGACAGACCACTGACATGCGTGGCTCAAATAATGGTTATCAGGCATATTGAAAATTGAGCAGTGGTCTTGAGAAAACGCTTGAAACGAAAGAAATAATCTCGACCATTTTGAGACAACTTAGGGTTCAGATCAGCTACGAACCGCTAGAATGCAAGGAAGCAAACAGTTGTTACAGATCCAACTAAGAAGTGTTAGTTTCGAACTTTTAGCAAGAGTATTTAGCAAGAGGGTAAACCGCATAAGAACGGTTCAAAAGACCTATATCATTGCTGTTACCTCAATCATGCTACTGATATCTAGATGAGATAAGTGTAAAAATTGACTGGAATGTTTTGCTCTTCTCAATGATTTTTCAAGAGTAATACTCACGTAGAGCGCATGTGGCGCAGTGGTTAGAGGTGCCCTGCGTCGCACATGAAGTCAGTGGTTCGATTTCGCGCTCATCGCCTCACCAAGCCATCCATCCCCTCCGGGGTCGGTAAATTGGTACCAGACAGGTCTCAGACTTGTCTGGGAGGATAAGCAGCACTGACTCGGTTCAGCGGGAGGCCTCCGCGAGTCAATGTAAAGGCCAGATATGCATTCAATCACCTCAAACGAACGTTAAAAATGAAGTCGAATGCATGGCGCATCCCTCAGGGATTGATCAACGCCGAGAAGCTTTATCCTTATCCTTTTTAATACTCACGTGGATAATCAAATGGCCAGATTTCACAGGTGGTGTGAGCCTCAGTGTAATTTTCATTCGTTTCTCCTAAGTGATCGTTGTATATGCTGTTGATACTCCAATCACGGCGACATTAGCGAAACATAAGGTGAAAAATTGCCTTTTTCTGAAAAAGGCGATAAATGACATTAGTCAGTACCTTATTAACTGAGTGATCATCCACGCAGACTCTTACATTCTCTTAGAGTATACTCAGGTGTTCTTTCTGTTTATCTGTCGTCTGCTCTTCTAATGCGCATCTAGACTCTCTATTGATGTGAATTCCTAGAGCACTCAAAAAATGAAACAGATTTTCGACGGTGTGATCTACGCACTTTAGAAGGATACCGTGAATATTTGCTCAAATCCCCACAAAACACTACTGAAGTGCTCAATAGGTGGTGCGCAGTAATCTTGAAAAAGTGCAAGCATCGGCAGGCGTCTTTGTTGCATAGTTGATCTCTGAGAAGATCACTAAGCCTCGTAGGTGGGTTACCTGTATATTCCCAATTACTCTTCGCTCGTTTGTGAATGATTTAAAGGATTTAATAGGATTGCAATGCATTTCGCATTGTTATGATGTTTTCTATACACCTAGAGAATTGAGTGGTGAACAAAAACGCGGCCTCGGGCGGGAATCGAACCCGCGTTTTCATCCTATCCGGGGACGCGTGCTCTAACCACTACACCACCGCGACACATTTGCCCGACCACTCATTCCGAGTATTAGTATTTAGAATAGCTGTCAGCTCAACTGGGTTTGTATAAAGCGAACTCGCATACCCGGACCAAACCTGTTAAACGTTGGAGGCTGATAGGTAACATTGAGATGTTTGAAAAAATGAGTGGTCGGGCAAATGTGCTTCGGTGGTGTAGTGGTTAGAGTACGCGTCCCCGGATAGGATGAAAAGCGGGTTCGATTTCCGCCCGAGGCCTCGTTTTTTGTTCACCACTCAATTCTCTTATTATTTAAAAAACTTGAATGCCGCCCAGGCTCCTAATTTTTCTTGTGACCTCTACCTCATGTTGATCTTTATGCTATGGAAGCTCCAAGTACGCGAAAGGATGTTGTGTTGTAATCAGAGAACCATCAGCTCAACCTCTTTTCCTTCCTACCATGTGTTTTCCACCTCAGAAATTTTTTAAAGTTGGCGATGTCGTTATCATAGTGAAAAGTTTGATAAAAAAAATTTCCACCAGAACGTATGCCGTTCTTGATTCTGATCGAGCGACTTCGTTGTCCACTGCAACAACCAAATTTGGCTTCGTGGTCTGCTGTACAAAGCCTTTTTTCATGGGAATGAAACGAAGTCGTTGCAAGAACTGTATTCTTGTGCTACTTTTACTCTAGCAGTCACATAAACTCGCGTATACATAATGGACCCACTCTTTTGCATACGAGTTGTTATAGAGCTACATTTGTTTGAACGCTGCGAAGCATTTTCTCGTAGTAGATAAAGGCTTGGACAAGATTGAAATGGTGCTCTCTAACAGACTTCTATGACTAGCTAAGCAATTCTGGACGTGCAAGGTCCTGCGTCAGAGTAAAGTCTACTCAGCTGGTTGCGCCCTATCTCGGGGGTTGCTGATACGCGTCAAAAGATTTGTTTCAAAGAATAGTACCTAGTTTACACTCAACGAGAATATCAAAATTAACCCTGAAGATTTCCTCGGTTACTTTAATCTGTATGATGCTCTCCACTAAATTAGAAAGTCACTATGTCAAGAGAGAATGCCATCACCTGTATCATCTGTGCCTCGTTTGTCGTCGACAGACTCGAGAGGGGCTCCAATAAAACTTTCATTTTCCCCATCGCGTAAATAGTAGCCCCGTAGGGTTCTTCACTCGTTAGAAAAATTGCTGCTCATCATAACGTTCTGCTGGACCTTTCGTGGAGAGTGCCATGCCGGATAGCTGGTCTTTCTGTGGAGCGCCTGACATCCCTAAGTATTTTGTAGGCAACGACTGTTGTCCTTCGTTTGTCGTTAAAGCGCGTTACGTTACACCACCACTCATTCTTAATGGCCTAGCGATGTAAAACGGCATCCTTGACCTTCGATTGGCGGCGTAGGTCAGAACTTCAAATTTCTCTTGCTGGCGAAAAATAGGATTCCCCCAACGTTGATCTTTCTACTGAGCGTTCAACACGCTAAGTGGTCTTTATTTTGTTTACGTAACGATCAGGTTTCTGCTCCATACATTTTGGCGGGGGCAAAGCCGTTGAGTCGGAAAGGTGGGCACGGGGGTCGGAATCTTCCTTACGTCCTCGATGTTCTTGAACGCTTCCCAAGCGGCTCGATTCCTCCTACTCGACTGTGAGCTTGGTAGTTCATACGCTATCTTTTACTCCCTAAATAGTCGTGAATTGATCATTTGGAGAATTCGTTCTCTAAGCGTAAATAAAATATTCAAAACCTAGTCGTTCCTCGTAAACATGGTTTTCGTTAGATTTAGTCGGAGACCAATCTTTTCCTAGGCGGTGTCGAAAACCGGTTAACATTTCTTCATGCCTTGGCTATGTCTGGCGTTATAAGGACGATATCTTAGTGAAGCAAAGGTCGTTTGATAGCCCAACAGTCGATTTTCATTCCTATATTTCCTATTTCTAATGTTAGCATGACGCTCTGAAGAGTAGTAGTGAATAATTTTGACGAGTTTGTGATGCCTTATTGAACTTTTCTTCTCAAGTTTATCAGTAATATCGATGTAGAATGGCCATATTTTTGGCTGTATAGTTTTTTATAAAGCTCACGAATGACTGTTTACGCATCAGTTAGGAACTACTTAGGTGTCCAGAGCCTCCACGAACCGCTTCTATTTCTATGGAAGAAAGGCTTTCTTCAATTGATAGAAGTGAGACAGAGCGATTTTGTATTCTTGTTAAATTTCAACAAAATCCTGTCATGGTGTGAATGTGGGCATTGGTACTAATTTCTCTTCGAGACCCTGTTTGTTTGCATGGTTATCTTTGTCGAATGTTCTCTCAATCGTGTTTGGCGCGACTCGAGTGAAGAGTTTATAGATAACGAACACCAAGCATGTTGGGCGATTAGTGTTTTAAATCGTAAAGGTACAAAACGGCAGCCTCGATGGTTTTCCATTTAATGAGAACCTTGCATTTCTTACATGTAACCACATGTTGTACATGTTACATGAAAAGAGCCGAGCCCATGGTGCTGATGAGAATTGGCGGCGAGAATTTCAGGTGTTCTAGTCTTATCTCTCTAAACTAAGTAGTTGTTCTGATTCTTCACCGACGATTAAAGCGTTATCGCTTCAGAGGAAAACCGGTTGAACCGCGAATTCGTTTTTCCAAATTGATCATGACGGTAAGATACAAACAAATTAGAAATCAAAGAGATCTAATCTAGTGGGTCATGGACGATTTTCAAACGGCCTTCTGGAAGCTGTAAGTGTTTCCGTCAGGGCGTTGAAAGCAATCATCTTAATCTTCGTTGACTGAAAAAGCTTTGGTGGCCTTCCGAATCGCTCTCTTCACGACTTCTGCAGCTTTGGCCACAATGCTGCTCGTCTCTTTTGAATTTTTCTTCTATCGCTTCTCTACAGCTTTTTTCAATTTCAGCCTATGGGCGGCATTCAAGCCTTTTAAATAATTAAGAGAATTGAGTGGTGAACAAAAACGAGGCCTCGGGCGGAAATCGAACCCGCTTTTCATCCTATCCAGGGACGGCGTACTCTAACCACTCACACCACCGAAGCACATTTGCTTGACCGTTTTGTTTGTCATCTACGACATTCATAGGATAGTTGATCTATGGATTTTACGGAAAAGGGATGCTGCAACAGACTTCACGGCAACGTCGAAAGAAAGATCAAGACGCCCTCCGGTTGGGTCAAATATTGATCTGATCACAACAAGAGCCTTTATTTGTCAAATTCAAATGGACACTTCAATCTTTTCGGGACCAAAATTGAAGTCTCCGCACGCGGTGCGATTGCCAATATATTTGGTCCCGTCTTCAGAATTTTTTTTTCTATGCGCGGACCCCAGCACTTCTAGCATTCACTCGTTTTTTCGTCTCTTCCTCTTCAACATCGTAAATTACCGGTAAATCACATCTTTCTGCAATCCCAATGACAGCTTTGCCGTGGCGTTCTATAGTGCACTCGGTGTTGAGCAACGGAGAGTGTTTGGGGCGTGGGGGACCAGCCACGTACCGCTCCGTGACGAGCATCACAACCACTCGGCCAAGGCCCCCGTTCCTCCCATAATCATGCATAACGTTTTGCTGCACATTTAGCTCCTATGTGTGCAGAAAGAATGAAAACTACGTTTCACGACGAATAGTTTTAGCAAAATGCTGCTTGTACAACTGCGTGCAATGTCAGACCAATCCATCGATAAGTCCCTAAAATTCTTAGACTATCATTGCATCTGTTTGAGAACTTTGACCACTATAAAATTGTGGGAACAAATTTTCTCCTGTGTTCTAAAAAATATGAGGTTCTACATTCATGTTATATTACTAATATCAGTGGCTGTGATTGAATAGCTCGTTCTGCTCGGACGGCCCGATTCGACGTGATTTGATTCTCACAACCAGCCACCGGCGAGTCAGTGCCGCACTCCCCAGGGGAACACTCCACCCTGGCTATCCTCGGCGATTTCAAGGAAGAGTCACTCAACCAGTATTCTAACGCCCGTTCAAATAGAAGGACGGAAAACAAAATGAATGCCTTAAAAGACTGGATTCGGCACAGTGAAAAAACCACTGTGCTGATGAATCAAATAAAATAGTAAAAAGTCATAGCACACCAAGAAGACTTTCTCATAAAACAAGCCCCTCGATGTTAGAAACGCCATTTCTTCTAGCGATCGAATGGCTACGTCCCACTGAAAAACAAGCGTCAGGATGAGAAAACCACGCAAAAGGGTGTAGCGTGCCATTTCTCGGCTCTGTACTTGGTCTTGAAGAGGCGTTAACAAATATAACTCAAAACACCTCACAGTGAGGAACATTTCATCGTAGTGTTGAGCTGTGGAAAAAACTCAGCGGGGTTAAGCAAATCCACAAAGCGCTCTTCTTTCGGCCTCCTCGTCGGGTAATGAAGTAATCCGTCTTGATTTTATTTGACGCGCCCTTGCGGTGTTATGGGATGGTACAATATATCCCAATAGTGTAGAGTGATGTGCAAAAGCGATGGCATCAGATGGAATTCGAACCCAGATCTCACTCTTACGGGAGCGTAAGCTAATCGTTGCACCACCAACGCTCGTTTTTGCACAGCACTCTACACTAATAGATAATACAATGATGACTAGGTGCGTCTTCATCAAGGAAAGACAAAACAAAGTCAACAACGACAAACACAGAAAATCACCGAAGATAACATGACCTAACGCTCTCAGATGAGCAGAATTATCGCTATTGGTAGGAATCGATTCAACACTGTATACTAATCGAATTCCACCATTCCATAATTGTTACACTGAAATACACTCCTTACTATGAAAACATAAACAGAACACTTCAAGATGGTCAAATCAAGGCTCTAAATGGAACTCGTGCAGAAATTTGGAAATGATCCCATAGACAAACGTCGCGACAATAGCAATTTGGGCGCGAAGTAAAAGATTTTAGTCTGCTTATATTTCACTGGCAACTCTGCTCGCATAAGGCTTCTTATGTGTATTTCGATATTCAGTGCTTTTCGTTGCCTCATATCCCCAACACCGCCCTTGCCGGACAATTCAAAGAAGAGCTACGATGGCCTCGATTAACAACATGACTACTAAGAGAATCAATTATGCTAAAAACTGAAAGTGCAGCTCTTTTCGTCTTTGAATTGAGCTGAAGCTCTTGCGAAACTGCGTATTTGAAAATTAGGAAGCAAGGGTATTTTTCTCAACTTAGCTGAGATTTACTGTCAAACTTCTACATTGTACTTTAACAAAAAACAGACATGGCTGTTGTGAAAGGCGGCACGTACGTTCAGCAGTCCGGCAAACAAGCACAAAAATGTTAGTTTAAGTTCGGTGATAATTTCACTTGACCACAGTGTAAATCGTTTGGTATTCGATACCACTCTACAGGTGAGAGTAAAGTTCCAAAGAGGATTGACTACGAAAATATCGAAGG